TGGATGTAAAATCTGGTAAGGAGCTAGAGGATCAGGGGAAAGATGAATTAAGATTTGGATCTGCTGAGTTGGAGAGTGTTTGATGGAGACAGGCAAGTTAAGCAGTTGAAAGTGCAGAGAGTAACTTAATTTCAGGTCTAGCACTTAGGAACGAGATTTAACATCTCTTTCTCCCTCCTTCCTCCAATATATATGTGATTCTTTTATAGGTGGTAAATTATAAATTAAGCCATGGAAATGAGAAGTGAATAGTCAATAATTTCAAATATTTCTGTGAGAATAGTAAGGTAAAGCCTGAAAAGTATCTGTTGGTAATTTTGGTGAGGACATAAGCAAGAGTGCAAGCAGTTGAGGCATGAATGGGAATTGAGGAATTAAGAGAATTGGAGTGGAAGATGGTGCTAGTGGGTTTTTAATTTTGGGCTTCTTTAAAATTGGGGAGCAGGGGCGCCTGGGTGGCTCAGTCGTTAAGCGTCTGCCTTCGGCTCAGGTCATGATCCCAGGGTCCTGGGATCGAGTCCCACATCGGGCTCCCCACTCTGCGGGAAGCCTGCTTCTCCCTCTCCCACTCCCCCTGCTTATGTTCCTGCTCTCGCTATGTCTCTCTCTGTCAAATAAATAAATAAAATCTTAAATAAATAAATAAATAAATAAATAAATAAATAAATAAATAAATAAAATTGGGGAGCCTCAAACATGTTTAAATGTTGATGGGAAGCAGCTCTGGAAAATGGGAGAAGTTAGAGATATTACTGAGAGATTATAGAAAGAAGTCTTCAACTAGATTTGAGAGGACAGAACCTAGAGCCCAGATAAAGCAATCAAATCTAGGACCTGTAGCAGCTTCCATTTTGATAGGACAGGGACAGTAATTTCTGTTGGATATCAGGAAGGTGAAGCAGGTCCTCTCTAATGGCTTCAGTTTTCATTGTGAATGAAGTAGGAAATGAGGCTCTCTTCTGAGAGTAGGAAACAGACTCTATTAGCAATTGAGAAACATCAGAAGGGGATATTTGATCAGAGTTGCTTTGGAAAGTGAAAGTGCCAATGTGGATAACATAGAACATTGTCAGGCAATTTTGAGGGCCCAGATAAGGTCGATGAGCCAGAATTTATGGTGACAGCAGCCTGCATTAAGTAATTTCAGTGTTTTCAAGAGGTTGAGATTCCTTTCTGGACTGTTACCTTATTAAGTCTTTCTATAGTTATCTTTAAATGTTAAAGAATTTGGCTCCTTTTTTCCCCCCGTAAAAAAAGAGGGCCCTAAAGTACACAGATGCAATGGATCATAAGATAATAAAATGTAACTTGTTTAAAAACCTTTCCAGTAATGGACCTTTTTGAATCTTTAGTAGTTATCTATACCACTCTTATACCTAAAGTAGGATTTTAGGGCTCTAAAATGTTTAGAGCTGGAAAAGAGAACTTTTACATCATCTTTTTTTGGTTCTTTTTGATCAGTGCTATTTTTTAAAAATCAGGAAAAATACTTGCTAAATGAAATCTTATAGGAATGACCCATCTACAGGTTTCCCCTGCTATGCAAAATAGAGCTTTCCTATAAAACCTTTCATAAGCTAAAACAGTGTAAAGTGAAGAAGCAGTTGCCATTAACTTATACGGAAACATTTTTTAGTGTTCTCAGACTCAAAAAATAACTTCTCTTAGGCTCTTCTGTTATCATAGGATACATCTTGTTAATGGATGCACAAAAGAAATTAAGACAAATCACAAATGCTCACACAGTTCAAATCTATGGTGGCTTGATGCTGAGTGTAGTTCCAGGGAAGGAGCTTGATGGTGCCCCTCTTGCTGCTTTGGGGTACACGGTAAAGCGCTTTGGGGTACAGCTTGCTGCAAAACAAATGCTGAATGCTAGTTTTGCTTTTCACCTTTTTTCATAAAAATGAAAATCCTCTTCCGATTTCTTTTGGTTAGGTAGGGGGGCGCCTGGGTGGCTCAGTCGTTCAGCGTCTGCCTTCGACTCAGATCATAATCCCAGGGTCCTGGGATCGAGCCCCACATTGGGCTCCGTGCTCGGCGGGAAGCCTGCTTCTCCCTTGCCCACTCACCCTGCTCATGTTCCCTCTCTTGCTGTGTCTCTCTCTGTCAAAATAAATAAATAAAATCTTTAAAAAAGAAAGGGAAGAAAGAAAGAAAGAAAAACAAAGAAAACATGTAGGTCTTTCATAAAAGTGAAGTGGCATAAAATGAATTTTTGAAAAGCTGGGGATACCTATATAAAAGAACTTAAAAATGATGGTACTTTGATGTGAGCTAGTAATTAAAAACACAAATTCTGGAGTCTGACTGCTTAAGCTTTTTAAAAAAAAAAGGTTTACTTATTTATTTGAGATAGAGCAAGTGAGCATGAGCAGGGGGAGGGGCAAAGGGAGAGGGAAAGAAATCCTCAAGCAGACTACCTGCTAAGTGGCTAAGTGCGGGGCTGGATCATGACCTGAGCCAAAATCATGACCTGAGCCAAAATCAAGAGCTGGCTGCTTAACTGACTGAGCCACCCAAGCACCCCAGACTGCTTACACTTTTAAACAGGCTCTGCTTCCTAGCTAGGTAGCCATGAAGCTCCAGTTTCTTCATCTGTAAAGTCAAGGTAATAATAATACCTACGTCATAGAGTTATGAATTTTAAATAAGATACACAGTTGGCCCTTGAACAACATGGATTTGAACTGCATCGGTCCACTTGTATGTGAATTTTTTTTTTTTTTTTTTGATAAAGAGTGCAGTACAGTAAACGTATTTTCTCTTCTAATGATTTTCCTAATATTTTCTTTTCTCTAGCTTACTTTATTGTAAGAATATGGTATATAATACATATAACATACAAAATATGTGTTAATTGCCTACTGTTATTGGGAAGGCTTCTGGTCAACAGTAGGGTATTAGTTTTGGAGGAGTCAAAAGTTACATGTAGATTTTTGACTGCATCAAGGGTCAGTGCCCTAACCCCCATGTTGTTCCAGGGTCAACTCTTTCTCAATATCTGTATCTTTTGGTTTATTTAATTTGGTTAAAGCAGAGCTGGGGAGCCATTCTGGCAACCCCGCTTGCCTGGTTTTTACTTTATCCTGTGTGGTGGTTCCTGAGGTGTGCCTCCCTGACACCCTTAGTCTTATATGGAATGTAGTTTGAAATCCTCTGAGCTAGCTCATCTCCCTCAATTTACAGATAAAGAAACTGAGCTCTAGATTGAGGCATAACATTTGAAAGACTACAGACCAATTTCTTCTGCTACACACAACTATTACTGCTGAATTAAGCCACATAACCATGTTTAGGTGCTGTAGCTTCTCTTTCGGTGGTATCTGAGGAATAGAAGGTAGAACACTGAGTTAGAAGGAAGCTTAGTATTAAAAACTATAAGGAGGGGTGCCTGGGTGGCTCGGTTAAGCGACTGCCTTCGGCTCAGGTCATGATCCTGGGGTCCTGGGATCGAGCCCCGCATCAGGCTCCCTGCTCAGCTGGAATCCTGCTTCTCCCTCTCCCACTCCCCCT